CAAGAACATGAACAATTCAATACTTTTCTACTGGAAAGATAAAATTTATCTAAACATGTATCAATACTTTCTTTTGAGTCAGTAAGCGGGCCAACCGAGCTTTCGATCAAGAGTCTAGCATCATAAATGTCGTGTGTTACCTTGCTACTAGCTTTATCTGACCACGCTACGTTATTTACTGTAGCATACTTATCATTAATAGAACAACAATTACATTGAGTGTTTTCTGACAGTAGACAATTCAATATTAGATATATTGGCGCATGATCCGAATGTGCACTGAAACAACCTACTTCAAAACATTTGACAGACGACATTGACATTTTATCAGTTAATGCATAGTCTATAACACTAGCACCATTAGAATTACAAAATGTTAATTTACCATCCGGGTCACCTATCGTCCGACCATTAAGGATCTGAACACCCGTTGACTTACATAGCTGCAGCAGATTACGACCAAACGTAGTAACTTTCGAGTCCTCTGAGTTACGCGTGACGTCACATGGCTCCTGAGGGTAACAAATAAACCCATCAAGTTGCCGATGAACACTGTCATGTAACGCGTCTATAGGTATATAGTCCGGTTCCCGGCCAGTCCTGCTGTTAAGATCTCCAATTACAAACACCTTACCTAAAGTACTATAGTGGCCGATATTGTTCTCTAACAACGAAAAGAAGTCTTCGTCATAAGTACGATGAAACACAGAACCATCCGGTGGTAAATATGTTAGTGCTATATAAACACATTTCTGGTCAGGGAAAAGTCTACCATCAACTCAAATCCATAAAATACTGTCTAATTCTACCGATTCCAGAGAAATATAATCGCGTAGCCACGGCTTGAATAGACATACTAAACCTCCTCCTTTACATTTTGATCTCACAACTGGTTTAAAACACTCAAAAACCGTTTACAGTTAAGTCATCATCGTCGTCTAACCAACTTTCCGAAAGGCCCACAATGTCCCTCTGACGAAATGTATTACAAAAATCAGTGTTCTCAATCTTATTTTTTAAACCCCTCTGTACGTTCCAACTGCAAATCCGTAAAGTGGTATTGGCCTCCGACGACCGCTACTCGACCGATTTGACGAAGGTCTCCTCAGACGTTTGATCATGAGATGGTGTACCGCTTGCCTGGCCACCCCCGTACTGTCCACTCTGGCCGTTCTTATCGGACATATCCCTATTGTCCGGAAGGTTCCTTGTGGGTGTTACAGTCTTGTTGACATTTAGGGACGCTAACACTTTGTACCTGTTAGACGTTTCAACGTTTACTGGGACGCCCACATTACCCGGTGATTGCGGCGTGGACGATTGTCTCCGTCGTTTAGCAAACCTGTCGCTGTAGTGTGTTGATCGACTATCATGAACAGGAGGTTTAGCGGGAGATTCGGCCTCTTCACAAGTGTAGAGTACGCCATCAACAAACATTTTGTCCCTTATAAACTTCACCTTGTAACCCGTTTTCCGTAGACGTTTAGCTACTGGATAAAGTTGCCTACGGACCTCCTCCACCACTGATGGAAACTGCTCGTTTACACCGTAATGTGTTCCCTTTAGCAAGTAAGTGCGGGATAATACCAAACTATGCTGGTTCTGGTGGAGAAACCGGGCAACGATAGGACGAGGACTATCACGTTTCCTCTTGCCAAATCGGTGAACGTTCCCGAACTCGATGACGTCTTGTATGTCTAACTCATTATGTAGGAAAGATCTTACCAAGGACTCGGTGTCCTCTCGGACGTTCTCACTTAACCCGGTGAATACCAAGTTTGCCTTCATGGAACGGCATTGGAGGTCAGTTACCATCGATTTCAGCTCGTCCCTTTCATCATTAGCTTTCGCCACCTTAGATAATAAAGCATCGGAGTTCGATCTCTCAACACGTTTTTTTAATGCATTAATATCATCATCATGTTTATCCGTTTTGACCTTCACCGATTCAAACAACTGTCCGATCACTTCTGCACTGTGTTCTATATCACGTGTTTGACAAGTCAATGTTGCGAATTTATCTTCAACATCACGTACACGCGATGACAAAAGAGTGAGGGCATGCTGTATTTGGTCTATTTTATCAACTTGCTCCTCAATATGTTTTAGTCTGTTGTCCATACGCATCATTATATTGATAATGTCAGCATTAATGATTTCAGTCGACCCTTTGCTCATGATGTCGCCATATAGTACTGTGCGCGTCGCCTCTAACACTGACGAGGTGTTCGCACTTGAATGGGTAGCATCAATGTCCGTATGAGTGTGTGTAATGCCCTCAGACATAATACTGGTGCACGTACACACAACGCACGTGAAAATGGGCACTAGAGCGTGACGAATCGCCGACCGTACTAGGTTCTCACACCCGAGTTTACCTGTCGCATATATATAATATAGCTCTATAATCACATATATACAATATAGCGTACCGACATCAAAACGTGCGAATTTCCAGGTAATACACAATTTCAGTTCGATTCTAATAGTACCTGCAATACAGAAGAACTAATACCGATCCGTGGCGTGATCTGAATGCATCTTTGGAGTCACATAAACGGGTTCACTGATAATTTTCTCTCCGAACGAACTGCTCAGGTCCACCATGGTCGCCGCCATCTTGCCTCTCTCCCACTGTACGGGTGAGTTTTTGGATACTCCAGAAATCACCAACCGACCTAGAGAAAGTTATTTTAAAATTTTTATATTTGGACCATACAACATCTCCAGAACTTTTACTTTTCAAATTGTATAACAACACCCCACACAAGTGTTGTTATAATGCTTACGTTATTTGTGCTATTCAAATACAGTTTAAACCAAATCCTATTTTCTTTACCACGCATATAAATATCTGCGCTCAGGCATAGTACTTCGGTAAATGAAAAACGACTTACATAGTTTTAATATATATTCTCTCCCTTTTTTATTTATCGTGTGCTATCGACCTATCCGTGACCATCTACACTCCTGTTAAATGAGTCTACTCCCGTACTTGGGTGGACCAAGTCCAGAACCAAGAAGGAAGAGGAAGGAATATAAATCTTAATAATGTTTAACTTAGTGATGCTATTACCAACGAACAGATAAATGGTCTAGTGACCGACATATCTACTGTGTTAACAAATTGCGCCACTAATACAATAGGTGTGTCGCACCGTCGTAAAAATAAGTACAAAAATGTAAATAAGCCATGTTTAACCACGTTTGTAAACTTGCTAGAAACGCCTTTAATAAATATAAAATTAGATATAAATTTAAAAAATTAACGGAAACCAAGCACACGATGAATAAAAAGGGAGAGAATACAGAAAACAACTAAGGAAAAATCACAAAAAATATCAAGAGAAATGCACCAAAGAATTAAGAGAGAATTCCAAACGAGACCCTAAAGCATTCTTGAAAACACTTAATATTTTCACAAAATAAAAATACTACACCAGACATACCTATTGACGTCCTATATGACTATTTTAAGAAACTTAATCCACTCGAAGAGGACAGTAATAATGACGAGGTTGATAACGACAGTTTTGATAATGATAATGACGTCAACAATACATTGAATGGACCAATCACTGAATCAGAAATACAAAAAACTATAAATCATTCAAAAATAATGAAGTGTCCGGCCCGGACCGCGTTTTGAATGAATATCTGAAAAATTCCCCACCGGACCCAGACCCAGATAAATATAGAGCTATCACTTTAATTAGTTGCTTTGGTAAACTAACTATTTACGTCAATTATCAATACCCGTCTTAATGAATATCACTTTTGGTATCAATCACAGTGTGGAAGATATTATATTTATTAAGTTGCATGAATTCAATATCTAAATGGTTTTTTTTCTTTTCAGGGTTATTTCTTTAGCCGGATACGCATTGCCCTGCTTCCTATTTGTGGATTAGTTATGCTTTATACACTATGGACGTCTAACACCACACAACAAGGTTTAGCTGAATCAGACGCTGGTCAGTCCTCTCCGATAGACGTTCCTGTAGTACGCCGGGAGTCACATAAGACTAGCATGGCCAGTACACTGCCAACGCCAGAACCGTCTTTGGAACATCCCAGTAACGTTACAAAGGGTTATTTGGTTTATGACTGCAGTCATCGGTGGCCAGGATCCTGTGGCGGCTGGTCAGACAGAATTTCCGGGATTTTATCGACTTACGTACTGGCAATATTGACCAACAGACAATTTCTGATCAATGTTGACAATCCTTGTCCACTTGAAAATTACTTTGAGTCGAAATTATACGACTGGCGATACAACAAAACACTTTTAGGACATAAACCATCTAGTAATTACTATTTGAAAGATGATCAAGGATGGAAAATCATGAAGATATTATTGACAGCTAAATCTGCCAAACCAATAAAGGATTTCTTCACTGCCCACGTCAGCTTTGTGCGTATTAACTGGGACATGACTCGGGAGTTCCGAAAGTTCTACCACGTGGAGAATTACGTCCCTTGGATAACACGACTCCATTTTGCCGATATTTATCGTTATATATTCGACATATTTTTCCAGCCAAAGCCTTTCTTGCTCGATATAATAGACACCGTTCAAAAAAGCAAACATAAAAACGCAACGTTTTGTGCTCACCTAAGGATTGGAAGAAGCTCGACACTTCCTAACGACAACGTACGGACAAAACCGGAACACATCCATATTATGCTCGACTTCATAGAGACCATCGACAAAAGTAAACATGATTTATTTTTAGCTACCGATTCAGAAAAAATACTACATGAATTTGAAACTAAATATTCCAAAAACTCCATTCTAACTGTCCCAGGAAGGATAACACATATAGACCAAACTAAAACAGGCGATGTGTGTGATGGATTTCAGAAACAACTTCTCGATTTTCTTTTTCTGCGAACTTGTGACAAACTCGTAATTTGTGAGAGCGGGTTCAGTATGATGGCCGCCTATTGGCGGGATATCTCCGAGGGACTATACTGTTGGACTCCCTACACAGTCGTCCCCTGCTCCCGGTATACCGTACATGACTTTTTCCCAAAACCGTTATTGAGTTCTCCGCGATGAGTTTCATCTTCTATTTCACCTTATATAAACAAATTTTCCATGCTTAAAACCGCGATGACAATCATATACCAAGACTGTAGTCCGCATATGTCACTTCCGGTACAATCAACATAGTCTATGACTGACTACAACGTCTACACACAATTTATAATGGCGTCTCATCGTTTAGTTGTTACTTCCGGTCTTTTACCCACAACCCAAAGCCACTTGTAAGTAATATGTCGTCACTTCCTGTTCATAATATGCAAACACCGCATTCCCTTGTAACTAGTTACTACTTCAATGACAACAAGTAATTTTACACTGTCTTTATATGCGTAAAACAATCCTAATAGTTTCTTAGAAGAAAGTGACATTACTTCCGGTACAACAGGTTTCAATATATTATGCAACACACACAACTGCGCATTACAATTTCCTAAGTAAATGAGTTGGCACTTCCGGTAAATAACACATTGTCATTATAATACTTTGCGCCCTTGGAACGGAACAGCTAATTAAAGGTGACTACACATAGGGCATGTAAAGTACAATATTACTGGTCACGATAGCATGACACCGACCCCTTTAAAACCGATGCAATTACATTATACGATTTTCTTTTCTACGCCATCAACACACAAAAGTCGAGAAATGTGATGCCACGGTCACTGTCACGTTGCTGTCATCTTGAGATTGATTTTTTAAGAAGAGATAAAGCGATATTTCATAAAATTCCAGAATTGATAGCCTTGTTTCGATTTAAAAAAATCAGGAATGACAATTCTGATTACTTCTGTACCGTCATGACAGGAAAATGATATGTTAAGGCAGAATCCTTGTCAATGTGCTGAGGACTATTTCAAGCCATCTTGTTTGAGTATAATTGATATTCAGGTGTGTGTTTCCAAAAGAAGTAGTCGATGTGATGACATTCCCTCGCGCGTTGTTAGAAATGACAGTATTAAGAGCCATTTTATCTATCAATTACGCCGTTCTTTATTCATGTTAAACCACCGCACGTGAAACTGATAGACACATCAGTATATCTGGCCAATTTATATTACATTTTAAATATGCAGATTGCAAACACAAATGTCACATTCGATTACTTTTCCTCTTCACATATATGAAAGTAACAGTAGTGAAAATGATTTTCATAAATATATTTTATATGACGTGTTCCATTTCGGCCTCAGCTCCTCCTAAATAGAATGAATTGCCATGCAAGACTGATTGTTTCTAGACTTTTGTTTCATTTTGTTATTGACTGTGTTCTTGAATTGTCTATCAGAATGTACATCACAACCATATCTCAATATTTACATTCTGTATGCTTAGACNGTTATTGTTGTTGACGGTTGCTAAGATCTCTCACGATAGTGTCACATTTCCCCGCGAAAAAACACTGTTCTCGCCACTGCGTTGCACCCGTGTATAAGCAGGAACAAACCCTGTTTATTTGTTTTATTCGTTGTTATATCGATCCACTGAAAGGATTCGTCAATGTAAATATAAGGAATGATATTTATTTTTTCAACATTTATGAGGTCATAACAACAATGGGTTTTTGGACATATTTTACATGAATCGCTAACGCGATTCATTCAATATGTCCATAAACCCATTGTTGTTATGACCTCATAAATGTTGAAAAAATAAAAATCATTCCTTAAAACATAACTTATATATTGGATGGGCTTGTTGTCATCATAATTAATGGATGGATGGATGGATGGATGAATGAATGAATGGATGAATGGATGGATGAATGAAAGAAGAAATTAATGAATGGATGGATGAAGAAATGTGTAACAGTGTATTGGAAATGTAATATAATATAAAATAAGTTGAAATAATTATTGGAAAAACTTTTTGTTTGCTTGTTTGTATTTTACGTCATATTAACAACTATTGTCATTTAAGGACGTGCCAGAATTGGTGGTAGCGGAAAGCTGGAGTACCCAGAGAAAAACCACCGACCTGCGGACAGTACCTGGCGATTGTCCCACGTAGGCTTCTAACCCGCGACCAGAGGTGGCGGGCTAGTGGTAGCAGGCTGTCAGACGCCTCAACGACTAGGCCACCTCGGCCCTGTTATTGTGTGTAAAACAATAAAGTTTAAATATTTCTTTAATAATGACAAAGCGTAAATGTCAGTTACCAATGGAACCGCACGACCATTTAGTTGAACACCAATAATTTGGAGGAAGGAACAGTTACGGTTGTCAATGTGCCAGAAAACAAAGAACGTTCAAGGACGTTCCATATATTCAAAATCATGTTTATTTTAATGGCTTTATTTTGTTGGGCGTTGAAAAGTAGATACTAATGATGAAAAATGTCAAAAGAATCTCGCAATCGCCTAACGATAAACGTACTGGTTTAGAAGTCGGGTGTCGCTCCTCTGTAATTGTATAAAGGAAAGGTATCAGCCTAGCTAGTGACTGCTTTTTTTTTACCTGGGACCAATATGCCGTATGCCTTCAATTTTGCTATGACATATTTCAGGGGTGCAGAGAGGGTAAGTGAGCGTATTTACACGCCCGTATTGGACGACTGGTCGTTTAATGGTATGGGCTTTTTTGACTGTCCGTCCGTCCGTTTACTTTTCTTTGTCATCGCTCTCCTGCCTTCATTCATTAATATACCTTAATGAAACTTGGTACACCGATAATGCATACCAATAAAGCTCGAACGAGTTTGCATTTCAAAGTTTACGTGCATTTTTGGTGGATTTATGCCCCTTTTATTGCCAATTAAAGGGCATTGTGTTGTAATTTATTTTTTATTTTTTAATCAATTCCTTTCAAATTTGGACTGGTAATGTTAGAAGCAATAATGTTCAACATATATTACCTGTTTTTCTGTCGAAATTTGGTCAGAAGCATCCTTAGGGGAAGGAGAACAAATTTTGTATAAATGGTGGGTCTGGCCCCCCTAGGGGCTTAGGGGCGGGGCCCTATAGGGGAAATATAGCATTCCTACAGTAGAAGAAGGATTTTAAAGAATTTACTATGTGTTCTCTATTGGGCCCGCCCCTCAGGCCCCTCAGGGGCCCCTCCCTTCAGGGTCCTGTGGGGCCAAACCATGGTTTATACAAAATTTGTTCCCCTTCCCCTAAGGATGCTTCTGACCAAATTTGGTCAAAATCTGCTCATTTGTTTATGACTAGTAGCGATTTGTAGGAAAAGTTGACGGACCACGGACGGACGACGCGCCATCGCATAAAAAAGGTCAGAATATAAAAATGATACCTGGATGCACAACTTCAGGTGTTAGTTATCATATATGGAAACTTTTGTTGAAATGGATCCCTAACTTTAGAAGGAGTTGTGCGGACAAAAAAAATCAGTATTTTTTTCAACAAAGGGCCATAACTTCATAACAAGAGGCCCATGGGCCTTAACGGTCACCTGATATATTTATACAGAGAGTTGATTTTGTTTTTAACACGAACAGAAATATTATTCAAAGTGACAAAAAAAATAATAAAACCACCTTATCCAATATCTAGCATACAGATTTAAGACTAAAAAGTATTTGAAACTAACACCTCTGATTCTAAACAAGGAAAATGAAGAAATTTTAGCACACTGACTCCTTTGGGCCCCACCCTACAGCTCTTGGGGGTAGGGCTGGCTCAAAATTTTCAAAGTATCAAACTGTCAACTCAGGGTTATAATTCCAATCAAGTTATTAACATGTTATATTATTCAAAGTATCATTTGCCATTATAAACCATAATAAAAAAAAATTGAAAAGAAGATTTTTGAAATTTCAGTCAATTCAACCCTTTTTGGCCCCACCCATCAGCCCCTGGGGGTCAGTCAGGGCTCATATGTGCATACCATCAAACTGCTGCCCAATACTGATAATGCTAACCCAAAGTGAATTGCTTCCAATGAAAATTAAACAAATGTCAGTCCAAAATGTGATTCCCTATATAAACTATAGTAAAGTTTACCCCCTCCCCAGGGGGAAACGTGAGACCCAAGGGGCATGAAATTCACAATTTTGGTAAAGCACCTCGAGACCCTGCCATCTATGAAGAGTATTTGATTCTACCATATCTGGGACTTGAGAAGAAGATTTTTGAAATTTCAGCCAATTCGACCCTTTTTGGCCCCACCCATCAGCCCCATGGGGGTCAGTCAGGGCTCATATGTGCATACCATCAAACTGCTACCCAATACTGATAATGCTAACCCAAAGTGAATTGCTTCCAATGGAAATTAAACAAATGTCAGTCCAAAATGTGATTCCCTATATAAACTATAGTAAAGTTTATCCCCTCCCCAGGGGGAAAAGCGAGACACCAGGGTCAAGAAATTCACAGTTTTTGTAAAGAACCTTAAGACCCTTCCATCTATGAAGAGTATTTGATTCTACCATATCTGGGTCTTGAGAAGAAGATTTTTGAAATTTTAGTCAATTTGACCCTTTTTGGTCCCGCCCCTCGGCCTGGGGGCCGGGGACCAAATCGGCCACTAATTTTGTCGACCTTTGGCCATGGAAGGTTTCTGCAAAATTTCATTGAAATTGGTTCAGGGGTTCTGGAGAAGAAGTCGAAAAAGTAAATTGTTAACGGACGCACGACGGACGCACGACGTCGCCGGACAAAAAGCGATCGCAATAGGTCACTTGAGACTTTGTCTCAGGTGACCTAAAAAAAGGGGTGAGAATGAAAAAAATAGTACCTGGATGCACAACTTCAGGTGGTAGTTATCATATCTGGAAAGTTTCGTTGAAATTGGTCCATTACTTTAGAAGCAGTTGTCCGGACTAACTTTTTCTACGGATGGACAGACAGACAAGCTGATTCATGTATAACCTTGATTCTGTGACCGCGATTCAGCACATGTCAACTATCCCACTAGACAGGTTGTCCCTCTGAACCCCAAAATTTCCCATTTGATCCCTCTGAAGGCATAGGACCGAGTCTGGCCCCTCTATCTTAAAATTATGACCAGGCATATGTCCCTGTTTGTGAACAAAAGCCCAAAACGAGGGAAAACTGCTAAGTGCACATGCAAATAATGCAAAAAATAATAGTATAAGTAACTTTTTCTTACACCTCATAAATTAAAATATGTGCCAAAATCAGTTGAGTCTTACCTTATTATCCCTTATAATTACCCCTCAAGCCCCTGGCCCTCGGACATTGGTCGAGTAACAGGATAATTAAGCTAACGGAATGTGTCCCTTGTCAGGGTACTTTTGAATTGCAGCAGTTAATCTTAGTGGTGTAACTTTTGACTTTCTAAAAACAATAAAGGAACTCCTAAAATATCATGAAGCAATTGGGATCATTTTTCCCCTATGGCCCTGAATTTTCCCTCTCCTGTTACACTATTAATCGAAGATGGGTGCATATATATGGAACAAGTTATCTAGGGGAGATGACTACATTTATCCTTGGCGATTTTAGTCACCTAACTTCACACACTTCTTACATTTTTCCTGTTACATCTTTGACAATATCCTACCTACACTCATCCTCGATATCCAGGGGTTACGCTCAATTTCGCTCTCTGCATCCCTGGAATATGTCATAGCAAGTGAGCGTAACCCCTGAATATCGAGGATGACCTACACTAATATTGAGGTTACTATTTGGACAGTAACTATTTGTATGGAAAAAATATATATTAACCAGAAATAAGCTTAAATTACACTTATAGAATAGCTAGTATTTTTTGGGGGGGGATTTTATAGTAAATACTGAAAATCATGTGTGTACTAAGTTGCATATAAATCCTGGGAGCACACAATTTTTTCAGTACATACCATAAAACCCAAATAACAATCATGGTTGTCCCTTATAATTTAGTTAAAACAGACGGACAACACTTTTTTAGTTCATCATAACAGATGGATATTTATTAATTTCTGATCAAAACAAATTATTTTTGCACAAAACATAACATGCACAGAAATATATTTTTCGCCGATCAACTTCAATCAATCACAAGTTAGAATAACAAATACCCTGCCAAAAATTGTGGTATACCACGTCACTTTTTGTAACATATTTTGTTGTTGATATTTTTTAGGTTACCGTATTTGACCGCAAATAAGCCCCCTCCCACTTTGGCAAATGTCCTGGGAACAGGCAGGGTGCCTGCAATCGAGCCCCCTCCCTAATTTTGTCTCTTTCTATAATCAATCTATAGTCAAGCATTAGGAAGAATAGCCAAAATTAAATGATATAATTATATATACATGTAGATAATTATTATGTCTATATTTTATATATGTGTGGCAGATATTATTTGCACATAGAATTACAGTTGCATTCTAGCTTCACGCTAGAGGGTATTTCCCTTTAGCTCAATTTGTAGAGAGACAGGCTAGGAAGTCTGGGATTGTGGGTTCGATATCGGACGAATCACACTATTCTCTTTCCTGTTGCAAATGGTATTAGTGACCCTCCCTGTGGTGACAGGAAGTTAGAACCTGGGTTTTTGTGTGTTTAAGGGCAAATACATTTAAGAATTAATGGGGGAGTAATGTGGCAGATTTTGATTGTACATAGGATTACAGTCGCCTTCTAGCTTCGCACTACAGGGAATTTCCCTTTAGCTGGATCAGTAGAGCGGCATACAAATAAGTCTGGGATCGCGTGGAAGCATACTACTCTCCTTCCTGTTACACATGTATACCCGACACACTGTATATCTATACTGGAATGAAAAGGAAAGCTCACTAAAAATGCCACACGACTCAACAAAACATAAAATTTAGAAGACTAATGAAGACATACAGAGTATTGGAATAAAAGGGATCAAAACACCAGGCTAGTTAGATTTGGTAAAGACCTACATTCATGCAACAATTAGTTTCATAAAATCTATAAAAAAAATATTAAAAAACATGTATGATGAATATGACAACTCTTACAAATATATATAGACAAATTCTAAATCAATTCAGTCTGGCAAGATAGTCAATTTATAAAAAAAACCGGATCCAACAAACAAAAATTTCAGCTATAAATGCAACATGTAAATGTGAATAACTTTTCTCATACATTTTTTTTTAAAGTTCCATATGCATGTATTTAAAAATATGCAAAAATAATATTAATTTATTTATTCTAGCATGATATAAATAAAATAATATTGGTAAACTAAACAAATTTTATTATTATTATAACTGGTTAAAAACTCGTATTTGCCAAATAAAATGTCAGTTTCACAAAAGCATTTCCCTGGTTTAAAACAATTTGTTAAGTCTCACACCACAACTGGAAATTTCCGTCACAGCTGAACTTTCACATCTTGATGAGGCAAAAGACTTGGGACATTATGGGTGATTTTTGGCCTCATAAATAGTAAAAATTTCAAATTCAGATCTTTCTTGGTACAGATTTTTTCCAATGCGCATGCGTAGATGCCCTACCATAGCAACAAAATTAGCACTGGGCAATTATCGATTTACCGATGAAGGGCAAGACTGGGCAAAAGGTTCCCTGTAAACAGTATATTCAAAATCATTTTCATAATCATATCATTTCAACAAAATTTTGGATCATCTTAATAAATCTTTCTTGTGTCATCCTATGTCTAACATTCATAATTCAAATGTAATAGGTGAGAAAAAATGCAACAGCCAGACCGTGGTTCGAACCTGGGACCCTCCGAGCTCTAGACGGACGCTCTACCAATTGAGCTAGCTACCAGGTCGCCAACGATCGACCCAGTCCAGTTCCGCTACACAAACATTAAACATGTTTCACATATTTATGAACACTTATAAATAGTTATCGATACTTTCACACTTCAGTTCTTGCATTTGCTACTGGGCATATATAGCATGAGGTCCATGGGACCTGTATCAAACACCTGTTTTTTATCTGAATTTGACAACAACAAAAATTTGATTATTTGAAATCATTGTATCCATCTCAGATTTCTTATTGATTCAGAAATACAATAAATCACACTTGATTATAAGCTTAAGCCAATGACAGGAACATTTTACAAATTGTCAACACATTTTATATCCTCATCTGACCTTGAATGGGGCTTCATGCTAAATACTGTGGCAACAGGCCTTATTGTTCTTGAGAAGGAAAAGGTTGTTGACAGATGGATGACAGTCATACGCTAAACCATGATGTACATACACATGTAACCTCACACACACTTTCATTTGTACCGCTTAAATTCAAAACGATGCATTTAAATCTACAACACGGCGTTTGATCAACAATAAATAACCTAACTTGGTATTAGTTTCTCATCTACAGTTAAGGAGCGTCTAACCAAACATTCAGAAGTACACGATTAACATGCAATTTTTTTTTTTACAAAGAGAAACCATTGAACAAAATTAAAGCTGCAAGGAAAATTTATAATTTTAGTAATCAATATGAATATACAGGAGTCGTTAAACACAGGCACAGAAAAGTTATTTTTGGGCAAGCAATACAAGTCAGAAAAATGTCCAACAAGCTGGACATCTTTGTTACAATAACTTAGAGTGCTGGGACTCGCTACCTTAACTCACTCACCCCTGAAGACACATTTGAACTCTTCCAATTCAACGGTTGGAATAGTTCATTACGATATTTCAGGGGTGAACGAGTTAAAATAGCAACATGGCATTTTCAATATAAAAGAGTATGCAGTATGTACTGTGCTGTTTAAACAATCAAAAGTGAACAATAGGTGTATGTGTTTTGCATCATATTGCTTCAAATTAAAATTCATGATCAATCATTTCTATTTCTCAAATGATCAATGATTGATCATTAATTGATAATAAAACTTAAAAATGCAAAGGAAATAAAGAAAGAAGCATTCACCAAAATGGATAAAACGTTTTAAATACCTAGCTATAACGCAAAACAGTTGTTTAAACGTAGTTTATGGTAAAACTTACAATTATATTTAATCAGTGTTTGGGTCTGCTGTGAATCTGAAAAACTCTTATAAAGATTTCAAATCATGATCAGTAATTAAAAATCATGATTGATTTAACATAGTTGAAAGGTAAAACAACTAATCATTAAAAAACTATTTGATTATTAGAACAACACTAGTGCGTAATGTGGACTTGTTCATATGTATAGCTTGTCATCAAAATACACTGGAAAGGAATTTTCACTTCATTATGTTATACCCATAGACATATTTACATTTTGTAATATAAATTACATATCAGTTACAATGAAGGATGTACATGTAAATGGGCTAGATTATCATTTTGGAAAAAGATATAGCCAAAACAAAAATGAATTAAATAGATCAAAGATATAGTGTTATAATCAACACCAATTATTTTTAAATCAAAAAGACATCACACAGGAGTCATATATATTGACCACATTTTGTATTATCAATAAATTCATAAATAATTTAGAGAAATTCCAATATTATTTAAATTTTAAAGTACTATTAAAACACAACATCAATCTACACAAGTTGAAGTAGAAAAATAATCTACCTGAATATGTTTGTCTTTCACTCAAATTTTATACAAAAATTGACCCCTATTACTTCAGACAAAATGTATCAACTCTTCATTGCACTCAATAATGAAAAATACTGATTGGTTGATTTTTTTTTTTTATATCGCATAATTATTTTTTTTTTTTACAAAGAATCTAACCTATGCTAACATCAATGCTCAAACCTTCTATGAGGTAGTTCACAACTAGGACTATCCTCCCGGGATGGATTCGACCCAGAACTACCACTTCCTGTGCGACTACGTATATGATCTTCAAAGATTTCGTCTCTGAATTCTGACCCAGGAGAAATCATGTTCCCACCGCTGGCCCCTGAGCACCTACAAACATCTCGCTCCAACTCGGCTAATCTCAATTTTTCGTTCAACTTTTCGTGGAGTTTAAGCTGATCTTCCACCTTTGTAGATGGTGGGATGGGTATCCTGCAATCCTGTCTGCTGTTACGTCGTTGGGTCAGATGCTCAGTGGGTAAGCGGTACATTGAATCAAAATCTGGGTTTGTTTCTACACTGTATTTATTGTTCTTGTTGTTTTTCATTTTTTCCTGTTTAGAGTTATCCCCCTTGCTTTTGTCTTTGCTGCGACCTTTAATTATGACCCCCTCGAGGTCATTTTTCCCTTTCAGTTTATTTGGTTTCTCATCTCTTGGGGACTCAGCTCTTTTTTCCTCATTGAGGCGATCTTTCACTTTTGGACATGTGAAATTCTTCAAACCTTTGTGTCCCTGAGATCTTGGAGAAGAGAGGCCTTTCTCCTCTAGCGTGTTCTTGTCTCCCTTTTTCTCACTCTCTTTTTCTTCCTGGGATTTTTCCTCCTTCGGAGAAAGTTGTTCTTTTTTGTTTTCTTCATCAGGTAAATTTACCACAACATTTAATTGCATTTCTTTCTGAAAGTTTTCTTCAATACGGATAATTTCTTCACATATTTCATCTGAAGGGACTATTTCAATTTCCGTTAAAGAATCAGTACTGCTGCTAAGTGAGTCAGAAATTATTTCCTGATTATCATTAGATGTTCCTGAGTTTTTCATCAATGAATTTGATGATGAAGAAGAGGATGTTGATGATGAGGATACTGACTTCTTGAGACTCTCCAGTTTGTTGCAGGAGTCCTGCTTTTTCACCAAAGAATCTTTGATATCGGTTACCCTGGTTACCTCAATATGGCTGCCACATTTATTTGACTTTTCAACAGATTCCTGATTGATCATTTTTCTGAGTACTTTAGGGGACAAATCATCAATCTGAAAGGAATTTCAAACAATTAATATAATATCATTACACAGGCAAACTTTCTTCATGTCAATTCAGGTCAAATTTAAGCATCCTGGTCCCACTGCCAGAAATTGTAACTAAGTATTGGAAAATGTTTTTTCTGGCATAACTATGACTTTAATAAATCATTTTTAAAAAGAAAAACCATACCTAGCGGGACTTTTATGAGAAATAATAAAGATGAATTAAACAAAATATAATCAACAGTTCTGCGTGCAAAAGATTATCAGGGCTAGTCCGGAATTCGAATCCCTGCACTTCAGAATCAGATTGTTATAATATTAGACTAACCGAATGAGCTACCTGGTTAATGGAAAGTTACACCCAAACGGAAGTTAAGGGGAGGTAACTGTATACAGGAAACAAGAGGCCCAAGAGGGCCTGTATCGCTCACCTGAATATTTAAGCAGTCATAGCAAAATATTCTCATTAAATATTATATTGCACTAAAAATATTTCCCTCGCAAACTTTGTTGGCTCCATCTGTTGAAACTACCAGCAAAATATTATTATAAGATTCTATGCTTTTTGATTCTTCTTCAGAAGTTGCTGACATATTTTTCCCTGTGATCTTGTAAGTAGGTCAATGTCATTTTCCTTCTCAAATTGGTTAGCTCTATTCCAAAAAGCTACCAGCCAAATCTTATGAATCCATTCCTTTTAGTTCTCAAGAACAAATCCATTAAAATGTTGTTGACCTCTGTGACCTCTAAAGTAGGTTGAGGTCATTTTCATTTGCAAACTTTGGTGAGCTCTATCCCGGGAAGTCACCAGCCAAATATTATAATTTTATGCCTTTTAATTCTTCAGAAGAAGCTGTTTGAACTGTTTGACATATTTGAACGCTGTGACCTTGAAAGTAGGTCAAGGTCATTTTCATTCGCAAACTTTGTTTGGCTCTTTCCCAGGAAGCCACCTGCCAAATATTAAGATTTTATAACTACCAGTTCTTCAGAAGAAGTCGTTTAAAGTGTTTGACATATCTGCCTCATGTGACCTTAAAAGAAGGTCAAGGTCATTTTCATTCTCAAACTTTGTTCGGCTCTTTCCTAGGAAGCTACAAGCCAAATATAGAGATTATATACCTTTCAGTTCTT